ATCTAAAGTGACTACATCGTGTGACAAACGATAATACACTTTATTATTGCATCTACCAAGATGAATAACAACAAACTTTTCCTCGTCATATAAAATATCGCTTTTTAATTTTCATTTTCCTCGTAGGGTTAAATCTCGAGTTAAATATCGAACAGGATGAGTATCTTGGAGCCTTCACAGAAGAGGCCGGAGTCAGAATAGACATTTCAAATCAAGGAGAAATGGCCTTTCCTCGCGAGAAAGGACTCAGCGCTGCACCAGGATTTTCTACATCAATTGGAATGCGAAAGGTGAGCGTTATAAGATTTTGGCGACACGCAATAGAGCCCAAAGTAGCCCATGGCGAGACCAAACGGGCCTGATATGCTGCCAAAACGTAGAAGAAAGATTCTTACACCTCATCGTAGCACATCAAGCCAGTGACTTGATAGCGCAGGATATCAGAACAGTAGACAACGCTGCTGATTGGGTGCTTGCGAATTTAGGCGTGGCCGAAAATATTTATAATGCAAAATACTAACATAGTAATACTAACATAGCATAGCTTCCTACTTAGAAATGAAATAATCAAATTAGAATTTTTGCAGATTGTGCTTAACAGAAAGGATCCATTCAACAACAAGAGATGTTTAAACAGTTCAACTCTGGATAGCGCTAATCTTTACAGACAAGCTTTCCAAGTCAATTATTCTTCCACGGTAAGCGGCCATCGCCATCAATAAACAATCACAGAAAAAGTTCCTAGGAAAATTTCTCTTAATAGCGGAGCTCGTGCGCGCCGACGACGCGCAAGCGGGGCCCCATACCATAAAATTTGGTAACCCATCGATCTGGAAAATTCTGGTTGTCACGTGACTGTGCGTACGTCCGTACGCCACGTGCAATTGAGAGTAGCACCAATACCATAGGTACATCTTTGATATTGGACATCCATGTTATGGTTAATTGACAGCTGTCAAAACAATGTATGCGCTGACCAGTATCATAAGACCATATCGCGGGCTTAGTTTTAGAGCTCATCGAGGTCGCGTGTGTTTTTGAAGCACAAAATTTAGGCACGAATTAACCCCAGGCGCGTTGAATTTTCTTCCGAGATATTTTTTGCACAATCGTCTCTTGGAAAGTCCCTGATATATTGCGTACGTAATTTCTACAATCTTGGAAAAACTGGGTACGCTTATTGGGTATAGTTTGTTAAGGTTTAACTGGGTAAAAAAGTGAAACCACACGCTGAACAACTACATGCTCACAACTGATCATTTTTTGAGTTCCTGATCCAAGAGAAAAACATCCTTTTTTTTTCCTTATGGTTAACTTGTTGCAATCAGGGG